CGGGGCGGGGCGGCCGACCGCACCGCGCCGAGAGACAGTTTGCGGGTCGAGTGGCAGGACGGGGCAGGAGGGCGCGACCGGACGTGAAAGCGGTGACATTTAACGCAACAGATCACGTGGCTCGCGACTGCAGCCGAGCAAAAACGCGCAGAGGAAAAATAAACGGCATACAAATGCCGTACCACATGCACGTCCGGCGAAAGAGATCCGTCGGCCGTTTCGAAGAGCTCACGATGCCAACCAAAATACTCACGTTCTCCTGCTGTCATGCCTCGCCTCACCCTCACCCCAGCCCACCTAGGCCAAAAAGAAAGGTCGACATTTATCGCAAATCTCTTTCTTCTCGTACTCGTTGTTGTGCGCGGCCGGGCCGCCTCCTCGGCCAGTTGAATGGAGGGCGTGCGCTCGACCCGGTCGGGACGGGTCGGCCGGGATGCCGTCGTGTTCCTTCGTGTTTCCATTATTCGACCAAAGTGAATGTGAATAGACCGGCTGGCACAGATAGCGATTTGTCGGCCGGTCACGACTGGGGCGCGCGGCGAGGGGCGGGGCGGGACCCCTGCGCCCTTGCGGGGCCGCCTCTCACCCAAGTTCACCTAGGTACCTATCCCTCTCTGTAGGTCGCTGCACAAAGTGGGGCTGCTTAATTATTTGTGCCTCACCTAATGAGAGGGATCCGAGGGGGTCGACCACTCATATGTTTTTGTGTTCATACAGGATATTTGTAATACTTTTGGAATATTCTTGGAATATTTGGAATATTTTAAGTGGCGACTGTCTGTAATATTTTGGAATATTTTTCACAGCGTAACATGGAATGTGCAAGTGGTCCGACCGACAAAGAACAACGCGAACAAAAAAAACAAAAAAACTTTTGGTTGTCACACAAAACTGATCGTGGTGCTTGCTACGCAGTCCAGTTACGGGAGCCGCGGGGGCGTCGCGTGGCGCCCCGTCATGTTCTCACGGCGGAGTGTCCCGAGCTGCGCAGGGCCGGGCCGGGCTGTCCGAGCGCCGCTGTCATTAGGGACTTGAGAGAATGTTGCTCGCGCCGCACCGCGGCCACGGCTTTCTCTCCGGAAGCTCTTGCAGCAGGTCCTATCCCCCTTTGGACCAATAGAACCCCCCCGTTAAATAACCGTAAACCATGACCGGCCGGACCGCGAGGAGAGAATGCGCGCACCCGATTGGGGCGATCATACTGAACGAACTCTACAAATTCGGCACATTGCCAGAAATATCCACATTCACTGTAAACTGGTTGGCGTCTCTGAACGCCAAAATACTAGAGTCCTCTGATAAACGCCAAATGTTGGCGTTCGAAGACGCCAAATGCAGAAAAGGACACCAACCAAATTAGTTTCTAGTTGATGACAAATGTTACATGTTCACGGGTTTTATGATTTTACTGTCATGCATTGTGCACGACACCTTAAAGTGCACACTACTCTAACTGCGGTTCGACGCGAGTGCCTTTCAGGCCGCACGCATGCTCGCGTTGCCCCCAGCCAGCTGATACGCCACACGACCGGGGCACTTTCTCTGCCGTCGAGACAAGAGGGGTATACTTTTCTTCTCAGGTCATTAGTCGCAGTGCGGAGGATGCCGCCGCCGCGGGGACCGACGGCTGATAGCTCGGCTCGAGACAGATTCTGCAACGCGAAGGCGGGGTGTGGCGTGGCGCCGTCGAGCGCGGGGTGTTCAAATCGTGTTGACGACTTCCTCGCCTGGCGCCACACCGCCCCGCCGGCGGCCCGCCACCCCGCCCATGCGCCACAAGGACCTTGTTTTTCAGCTCGTCAGGAAGCGGAGGGGCGGAGGGGGCGATTGGTTCTGCTTTCTTACTCCATTCCGTCGCTCTAATTCGAAGCGCGGCCGGCGGCGGCGAAGGCTGCGACCGACCACTTTGCATATCGTTACCGGCGGTGCGGATATTTATAGCCCTCTCTCCGATCTGATTGATGAAATCAATATCAGTAGTGTTGATGAACGTCATTATTTTTTTGGCGGGCCAGCTGCGTGGCAAGGCGCCGCCGTGGCGCCGGCAGGTCCGTGCATCGCGCATCCTCCTCGCGGACCGCGCGGCCAGGTGTGAGGGCCAGCTGTGCGGCTGCACGCCAGCTGCAGCTGCACCGAGTGCCCCAGTAACTCGTCGGCGCCGTGGCGGCAGGGCAGCCCTGGCCGATTACACGGCGCGATATTCCAAACTCGTTGGCCTGGAGGCGCGGCGTGGCGCGGCGTGGCGCGGCGTGGCGCGGCGGCCGCCTGACCTTGATCCTTATAGTGTGTCCGCCATACATTTCCCCGTCCGGCCCCCCGGCGCCCGCGGCCGGCCCGTCCGCTGCGCGCCGCTCGCCCCGACAGACAATTTCTGATGTATATTTTCTAGTATATCTCTCCCCTCCTCTCATACAACTTTTCGCGCCCGCGGGTCTGGCGAGGCTGACCCGGTCGGGCGCAGGCGGCGGGCTGCCACGGACGGCCTGGCCGCGGGTCCTCCTCTAATTCGGACTTCTCTCTTCCGTCTGAAGGGATTTAAATCAAAGGCGAGAGCGGCGGGAGGTTGGGGCCGCCGCGGGGCGCTGCGGGTTGGGCTCAGGTAGGTGGTGGGTTCGGGCAAAACGCGCTGACCCGCGCCGACGCGTCGGCGAGGAGGAAGGCGAGGGCCCCGTTAAAATGATCGGTTCCACTATCGATGTATCGTTGTGGGGGCCCGCGGGCGCGTCGCGCCGGGCGGCGGCCCGAGGCGACGGCTGCCCACACGCGGTCGCGCGGGGCTCTCTTGCCGTGGATCCCTTCCCCTTCACTTGACTCGCTTCACTTTCTTCGGCGCCGCTGTCTCCTGCTGGGCGGGGCCCGCGGCGCGGCCTG